TGAAGCTGCAAGGCGTATAAAGGGAGCGAGGACCCTGATTGAAGATCACTCCAAAAAATCAACCTAACCTAGCCCAACCTACTTAAACAACCTAAAGGCTTGGCCTGGTCTGAAGGAAGAAGAAAGTCGACCTTGTAGAGAAGCGGATAGGAGAGGTAGCCTATAGACTCAAGCGATCAGCTCGGTGAAAACTCACCCCGTATTCTATGTGAGTCAGTTGACTTCGATTAGACCAGACCGACCTTGAGAGGAACGTGCCCACGAGGGCACCGCCAGATCTTGTAGATGAACTTCCCCAAGAATCAGTTTAGTATATCATAGCTGACCCCACCATGGGCAGGACGAGACCATACACCCATTACACGAGTAGAATACTAATTAGTCAAGTAGAATGGCCAACCTGAGAGCGAGGCAAGCTGGGAACGGGCTGAAACTGACGATTCGAAGACAAAGTCAGAGACTACTGGACGTCTCACAGAGCGACTCTCAACAAGGACGTTGAGACTTTTCAAAAACAAATATGTTGGGCTTAATCCGCACTAAAGATCAAGGAGTACAAATGTACTTCGGATAATAAGGGAAAGGTTTTTTTCTAATCCAAGTTTGACTCTGATTAGATCCGACGCGCAAGCGCTAAGTAAGCAAGCTACCTTATGTAATGTCAAAAAAACCGAGGAAAATAACGAACCTCAAGTAGAAACGAACAAGGTCTTACGGCACGATCACTATATCTCTTTTCTTTTTCTTTATCTCTCCTCTATAGAAAGAGGGGAGCGTGGTATACCTTATCGTTTGGTCAACGAGACGTACATAAGCCGACCATGTATATGTTCTTTGGAGCTCGAACCCATAAATAGAATGAAATGAAATAATGGTGAGCCTAGGGCGACGAACATGGTTCAAGGGTGTCTATACAAAGCCCTTCTCTTCTTCACTCAAAGAGGCAATGCACTCAAAGATTTGAATGGGACTTGATTGATAAAGAATGCATTTTTTGGTTAGAAGTTAGATAGACGGACTAACTAAAAGGAAATGTCATGCTCCGCGTGTCACGAGATATGGGGAGTTCTAATCGAAGGGTCATACTTCTCGGCCCTATTACGGTAAGGCCAATGCACCAGCCAGCCGGTGTGGTGGCGAACAAGCTGTGCTGTAAGCTAAGTTGTTCCCCTTGTAGACGGAGGAGATATATAAAGAAAGTGTACCGTGCTTTCTTCATAAGATTCTATAGTAGCACTAGTATCTTATTGGATTTCACTTAGCTTGCCTCTCCCATGACTTTCCGGACCAACCAACCCGGATCTGCCCTCAAAAGTCTCTCTGCATTTATGGAGCTGAGCATGCAAAATAGAGCAATGGATCTTCGGCCGAATTCGATTTTGAATGGCACGACTCTTTCTCTTTTTGTGCTGGCATTTGAGTTGTCTCTCCTCCTCTTTCAATGGACACACTCGACACAGATAGGCTCCGATGGCCCCGGCTTCTGCCTCTATCAGGGGGTGGTAGCCCCACCTCCACAGCCACAGCATGGAGGAGCAGCTCCTTAATCCGCACTACAACCAATCCACATTTTCTCCAGATCGATATATGATGCTAAACCGAAATCGAGCTCGATCGAGAGGGCAGCCCCTTTGTTGGCTCTTCGAGACAAAAGCACTCATAGGAATGGTGCTAATTCCCATGTTCTTTCGAGTCTCGTTTGGTTTTGAGAGCCTCCCCCTCCCCGTCCCTTACTTGTCTTTTGACAGCCGTCATCCTGGATTTTTTTTCCGTATGCCGGGAAAAGTGTCTCACCTTTCTACATTCATTCTTAGACAAATTTCCTCGGGTCTCTATAAAACAGAATGAAAAGTCGGGGTAGAAGCACAAAAGGAGAGAGGCAAAGTCGAAAGGGGGGAATCAGTCTAGTGCTAGTTCTTAGTGAAACTTCTTTATCTAACTCTCATTTTTTAGTGGTTTCTTTGGAAAGAAAGACAAAACTTCCCTTTCTTTCTATTTTTTCTTTTTGCTCTCTTTGACGAATTGAGTTTTTACCAGAGAGATTTTGTTTGAAAGATTCTCCTGTCTCAATCATTCAAAAAGAGAAAGAAGATAAATAAAGGCGCATACGCGCCCCACTACTTCTTCATTCAGAAGGGTGGGAGACGGGACTCATGACTTCCCACTGAGCGAGAGGTGCACCTACCCACTCATCAATCACGGTGTTCAGCTGACTTGCACTGATAGACCCCGATTGTATTGGAATTAAGCGCCCATCTGTTTACTATTGTCAACTAATCTCTTCAATGTGAAATTCGACTCAATGTTAGAACATTTCTGTTCATGCTATTCTGATTTAAGTGGTCCTATTCTGTGTCCCCTGCTAGGAAGCATTATTCCTCTTTTCATTCCAAATTCAAGAATACGACCGATACGATTGATTGGTCTATGTGCCTCTCTTATTACTTTTTTGTATCCCCCTGTTCCTCGGATACAATTCGATCCTTCTACGACCAAATCTCAATTTGTGGAAAGCCTTCGATGGCTTCCTTATTAAAACATCAATTTTTCCTTGGGTATAGACGGTATCTCTTTATTCTTCGTGATACTGACCACATTTCTGATCCCTATTTGTATTTTAGTGGGTTGGTTTGGTATGAGAAGTTATGGGAAAGAGTATATTACAACATCTTTAATTCGTGAATTTCTAATGATCATCGTGTTCTGCATGTTGGATCCTCTACTAATCTATGTTCTTCCCGAAAGCGTGCCAATCCCTATGTTGTGCGGAGCTGAGCATTTGATATTCGCTGGGATCAAGCTTTTCCTCTGCGTGGGCCTTGTGCAGTAAACCCCCTACGGGCGGTCGTCCGTCGTTGTAAAGTAGTCCCCGCGAAGCTTTCGGGAGGAGGGGTAGTCTTGTGTGTAAGCATAGCATTTCTGGTTGAACCTGCCCAACCCAACTAAGAAGAACCGAACCTAACAGACACAGATTTTGCCTTTTGGGAGGGTACTTCGAGTAGTGGGTACCTCATCAGACCTCGACCCGCCTACTCGGGTCTTGTATGAATATGCAGGAAGGGGTGCTCCTAGGTGTGTGTAGGGGTTGTGTTTGTTCGCGAGAATGGATTCCTCGTCAAGTCAGTTTGGGGGGTGTGGACACACTTGCGCGAATTCAGGTAACGGCTACAAGGGAGAAAGAGAAAGGAAACTGTACCCGACCAGGGATGGACGTAAACTCGTAAGCTACAGATGGTAGGGATAATCGTCCAGGTCTCTTATTGTGAAAGAAAAAAGCCGCCCAGCCACAGCAGGCGGGTTGGTTCCTCTGTCGCGCCGGGGAGCTCTTGGTGAGGAGACCTTAGGAGAAGTTGCTAAAACAAACGGGAGGGGAGGATCGACCCGTTCAGTAGAATTCCGAAGAAAGACTGTTGGCAGCTGGTGGAGACATTTCTTTGGCCCCCTTCAAAAAAAGGAAATGCGGGCTGGGTGAAGCTCGGCAGAGAGTTCGAGAATAGGGTAGGGTCCTGGCCTTAAGATGAAAATCAGATTCGAGATCCAAACCTTTATGCATGCACCCCCGTACAAGTGCTGCGTACAAGTTCCGGCCAGGATAATTAGGAAAGATCAAACCAATTTGAACCGCTCACATCACAGTAGTAGTAGCTTAAAAGCCGTAAGTCGGGGGGCGGCCATAACATAAGGCTATTACTTTCACATCTCTCTCCATCGTTAGATATCTAGAGAGAGATAGAGATCCGCTGCGTGATCAACCCGACTGTTCCTTACATGTGCTCTACAGGTCGCACTCCATCTTTCTTCCCAACGATCCCATTTTTCTTTTGATTTGGAAGACGGGCATTGCGATCGAAAGGCATGGTTTTCAATATGTCTCCAGATAGGGCCCCACTAGTCCGGCTAGCTAGTGAGCAGTTCTTTTGCGCGAGAAGCGGGCATCTCCCGCAACGCAAGCTGCATTGTTCGCCACTATCTGAGAAGCAAAAGATTCGAGAGTCTAGGCTGAAAATACATGCATAGATAGTGGTCTAATGACAAGGGCCGAGGAAGCTCGGAACGAAGCCGTATGATGCGGAAGTCTCACGTACGGTTCCCTGAGAATGGAGTGGCTACCTACTGGAGCTTCGACCAACTACCATCGGTCAATTCCGCTTTGGGGCCACCCCTGACTCTACCATTATTATAGGGGTATGGGGTTTGAGACAAAGAAAGATCAAGGCAGCATATCAGTTTTTCCTTTATACTTTAGTGGGATCCATTTTTATGCTATTAGCTATTTTGTTGATTCTTCTCCAAACAGGAACCACCGATTTACAAATCTCATTAACCACTGAATTTAGTGAGCGGCGCCAAATCTTTGTATGGATTGCTTTTTTCGCCTTTTCCGCCGTCAAAGTGCCTATGGTACCAGTTCATATTTGGTTACCCGAAGCTCATGTAGAGGCACCTACGGCAGGATCCGTCATCTTGGCAGGAATTCTTTTAAAATTGGGAACCCACGGGTTTTTAAGATTTTCTATACCCATGTTTCCCGAAGCCACACTTTGTGCCACTCCTTTCATCTATACTTTAAGCGCGATTGCTATAATATATACTTCCTTGACCACTTCAAGACAGATCGATCTTAAGAAGATCATTGCTTACTCCTCAGTAGCCCATATGAATCTGGTGACTATTGGTATCTTTAGTCGAGCGGCGGCCGTTAGGTCACCTATTTTCAGTTATGGACACACAAGGCCAAAACATGTGTGTCGGGCGTGTGACCCATCAACCTACTAGCAATGAGGGAGAAAACATAGCATATCGCAATAAAAGCTTGATTCGAGACGTCAGCAAAACACTGCCGTCTATTCCAAAAACAAAATCCCCTTAGCGCCCCAGGACGGGAGTGGGGGACGGCCCTACGCGCAGGCAACAGCAGCACCAGCTTTACGAAGTCAAAATCGAATCTTTCTATTGGCTTTCCCATTCTTTCGTGAATCAGAATGAAAGGGCTAGAAGCTCTAGCTTCTAGCTATTTCGCCTGCTTATTATTATGGCGGAAATGAACGTGTTATTTTCAAATCGATTGATAGATAGCCTGATCTGTTCTGATAGATCAAAAGAGTTGAAATGTCTCGAGAGGGGATCCATCAATAATAAGGAGAAATCTCCTATTTCTATCTATTCTTGATCCATCTGAAAGAAATCGATATGTATCTGATGGAGTCTACATTGTACGTAGAGTGCCCAAGCGCTTTTTAGGCCTGCTTCGTTCTCTTATCCATCGGTCCAATGCACTGGGCTCATCTCGTGGAGGGAAAAGCCAAAATTGAGTTGTAGTCTTGTTGTTCGCTGCCTCGATGCATTCCCTTCTCTCCTCGGCATCGTCCCACACAGAAAGAAAGAGCGCAGAGCCCCAGCCCGACCTGTGGGTCCGCTAACATAAAGCGAGGAGTTGAGCCTGAACTGGTGAAACGAAGTCACTTTTGGAACCATACTTCCTACAGCGAACACGTGTCCAGCGGGAACGCGCAGCGCAACCGAACGTGAGCTGCTATACCGAATCCCCAGCTGCCCATCGGGGACCGAGTGGTAAGGCCATGATCCGCAGGGGAACAAATCACTCATTCTTCCATTGGGGACAGGTGCACGAACGACAACTCCAAACGTCACACATCCGTCGCCTACCTACCGTTTAGGTGGCACCAGCGAGATCCAGCTAAGGTAAGGAACTTCGTGTCGCGGCTGCTCCACTCTGCCGAGGTCTCATGAACTGAACTTCGTTGCCTTCCTGCGCGCGAAGCGAATTGGCGCTGTGCTCTGGGTCAGTTTCGGGGCGTGGAACGAAGAGTGACTAGAAGAATGATTCATTTGGATGAGCTTTTTAAGCCCCAAAACTCAGAATCCACGGAATGAATGTATCTAAATCCATGAAAAGATCTATTCGATCTGTATAGATAGGGGATGGGATCTCTCTATACATATCAAATCGTTTTATGGCATGATATGATCGCCTAGCCCCGCATATCAGCTGCGCTCAATATGCGGGAGTTTTGTTGGATCTGATCTTTCGGGAAGCTTTTGGACCGAGCGAAAAGGACTTTTAGCCTTTGCGCAAGCAAGAAAAGTCGAAGCTTTGCCAGAAGCAAGACGAGGAAGCAGAGTTGTCGTATAAACGGTAGCTTTCCCCGACCAACTTTGATTCAAAAGAAAGGCAAAGGGTTTTTTGGCAACAAGCAAACGACTTTCTATCATAGTTGCAAGGATTCCAAACCTTAACTACAACATGTTGTACCAAAGGCTGATTTCGGTTGGTTGAATAAGGGGGACGTTCCATAAGATAAGTGACGTTCAATCTCTAAGGTGGGTTTCCGCTGAGAACGGAATAGTGTTCGTGTCCAAAGGTGAATAAAGCCCTAGCTTCTAGAGTTCGCTGCTTTTACCAGGCCGGAGAAGGGCTTATACCGATCGCCTTTGTTTGATATGTTCATTCAGTACCAATACAAACTACAACTACACTAAAGTGGAAGGGCTACTATAGAAGCTAGAAGTAGCCTCCCGTAAAGTCAGTAGTCGGCCTAATCAAAGCGTCACGACAACAACAAATTACCCTGATTCATCGAATGGAATCTTAATTCAATCAATAGGGGGCTGCCTACCAATCAAAGAGGCTGGAAGACTTTCCACTTCATTGAAAAAGGGAAGGGGAGAGGGAAGTGAAGCTTAGCGAGCTTTCTGCCGGCCGACCACTACATAAGCCGCTGCCGTCGAGCTTTCTCCGCCAGCTTCCTTTCATTAGCTTCTCGAGAGCCGCATAGCACATAGCTGGAAGTCAGAGGGCCCATACTACCTGCCTAACCCCTCGCTCCGAGGGACCGTAGATCGGAAAGCGCCTGAAAAATCACCCCATTCATCCAACCAAAAGAGAAGGGGCCTATGTATTTGCATGACCCCTGCAGATTTGACTCTATCTACACTCAGAGCCAATCCCCTATCGGTCCTGTCACCACGCCGCAGAACGAGAGCTCGTGTGGAACCTTTTCTTTCTGGTGTAACTGCGGTGAAACGTAACAAAATCTTACGGTCGCGTAATAGAAGGGTCGGAGGTACGGTAAACTCAGCCAAAATATGACACCCGAAGGGCCCGACGCGCACAATCCTATCCTATCTGAGTCCGAGTTTACCCTTGCACTTCGGACAGCCGTCCGTAGCATCATAAGGAGGACCCCCTTTCGAGGTCAAAAATGGTACGGTACATAGGAGGCTGGTCTTTCTCAACGTGGTGTATAGCACGAAAAACATTTCGATACAAGATAGGGTCGTTCACATGAAAGAAGAGAAGAAAGACTTTCTTCTTTTCTTTCTCTTTTTCGCCAGTGCTGACGCAGTGCGCACGTAGATAAGGAAAGCCAAATCCCAGTGGGGGGCCAGTACCTTTCTTTTACGGCCTAAATTCCTATTTGTCAGCCGTGGGGAACTACTGCTCGGTCGGAAAGAGGCGAAAGGCTTGGGCCTACCTATCCCAATAGGGCCTCATAAAGGAACGGGAGTGAGAGGTTCCATATTGCCGAGCCGAAGGGCAGCACTTCTATACGTGATCGTAGTATGTCACCTCGTCTCGTCCCCGCACCGCAGCATTGAAGAGTATCTATGCACTATTTCCGGTTCACTGATAAGGAAGATAGAGTTGGGGTGGGGGTGACAGATGTGATACGTCAAGTATGACCCGGAGAGATACATGCTAACTATGGGTAGAAAGCAGGAACCATTATGTAATGAATTTCGGGGGGTTACAGATCTCTTATACTACCATTGATCGACAGAGCGGAACAACCAGAAAAAGAAGTGAAGTTAGAAAGCCGTATGATAGGTGGTAACTATCTTGTACAGTTCGGGGGGTAATCGGCGTACTCGTATCAGTGGGGGGGAATCTTTGGCTCTATCGAACATACAGGGAATTGGAGGTAGCATTCTATCGATGTTAAGTCATGGACTGGTTCCTTCAGCCCTTTTTCTATGTGTTGGGGTTCTATATGACCGACATAAGACTCGACTTGTTAGATATTACGGAGGTTCAGTGAGCACCATGCCGAATCTCTCTACCATTTCCTTCTCTTTCACTTTGGCCAATATGAGTTTACCTGGTACTAGCAGCTTTATCCGGGAATTTCCCATCTCAGTAGGAGCTTTCCAAAGAAATAGCTTAGTAGCCACATTAGTCGCGCTTGGAATGATTTTAGGGGCGGCGTATTCCCTTTGGCTATATAATCGTGTGGTTCTGGAAATTTAAAAACCGATTTCCTCCATAAATACTCCGATCCAAATGGCAGAGAAGTTTCCATATTTATACCTTTTCTTGTTGGAGGGGCGACCGCCCGTTGAACTACCAAAGAAAAAGGGGTAAACCAATGTGATCATGACATTGTAGGTGCTTGCGATGGGATGGATGCGACTTCCCTCAGTTGGTTTGGGTGGCATAGCCCGTTGCGGAAGTCCCCCCTTTTTTGATCCATTTCTTTAGTCTGTCGGGAGCCCTTGCTGGGTGAGACCAAGAGAAAGAAAGGACGGGGGGCAACCATGCATGGTACTTCTCGACCGTGTCTCCGAGGGACAGTTGAATGAGCGACTCATGAATGCTGCCGGGTTGGACGAGCCAATAACTCGAACGCCTTCGGTCTGTTTTTTGAGCAAGAATCACAGCGTTACCTTACCTTCACCATGATACGGACTCCAAGTTCTTATGGCGGAGCACGAGGGAATTTATCATCAATATGATGATGGGAATGGAAACCAGAAGCACGACCGGGGTCCAAGATAGTCAAACCATCAATAACAGTAACGTAAGAATGAGACTTTTTGGTAGTACCAGTGAACTAGATGGCCGCGGCAATAGAATCTGGGACGGAGGACTCGTAGTATCTCTCTAGATCTGGAAAAAGCGAAAGACCTCCTAACGTAATTCGAATGGGGGCGTCCCTGACCGCTTCGCCCCACTCAGCTTTATTAAAAGCAAGGACCACTACGGGAGGTCAAACCAAGGACCTATGCAAGTCGGGGCTCGTCCCCGGTCAATATTGGATCAAACAATAGGGGGCCGTAGCACTGACCTCTTTTTTTATTGATTCAATACAATTAGGGGAAAAGATCGTACAGTTACCTACCGAGACAAGAGAAAGTCTCAATGGATGGATCCTCCCTCCGCGCGCTGGGCATACCTCTTTTGTGCTTCTCGTGGCGGGAACAGAACAGGAAAGACCCGGCCGACCAGCCCGTAACTATTTATTACTCGAGGGAAAGCTCTTTATTTAAGAGAGAATGGGGAGTGAATCGAATCCGTTTTCGTTCTTGGTTTGGTTATGGCTCCTCTCGATCTTATTCGTAGTTAGGAAGGGGGAAGGAGTCTAAATCAATGGACATTAATGAACCATCATTGATGGACGTTGCACATGACACAGGATCAATTTGACTCAAGGTCCGGCGCTAATAGAAGTAGCGGACTCTCCTAGTAGCGAAGGAAAAGGAAAAGGACTTTTTTCGTTGTAATAGTGGACGGGTTAAGTGAGATCTATGCCGGCCGTAGGAATAAAATTCTGGTCGCAGCAGAGGGGCGGCGCCCTCGCCTGGCGCCATTCTCGGACCTAGCAGCAGACGGGCAGGCCGGGCCTGAATTCAGATCTGACTCTTATACAAAACCCAAACTTCAAAAATTATACCAGCACAAAGAGTGAACTTACCAAGCAAAAAGAAACCCTCCTTATGGAACGGAATCACCCCCCACGTACACGAGCTAAAGGATAAGTGTGCATAAAACAGTAATGAAGAACAATCACAGAAAAACACAGATGGAAGGAGCTGCGTGGTGATCCCTAGGTTACATCACGTCTGGTCGTTAACTCCTCGCATCGCTGCAGTCGTTTCTAGAACCGACCAATGCCCCACCTACACAGGTACCTATGTAGTGTAGTGTCGGTGGCACATTCAACATAGCGTTTGGACTCATGTGCCTTTTAGAACCAGGGGTCTTTGAGCCTATTGCGTACGATTAGCCAGCCTTGCGGCTACAAAAGGATTAGATGTCCCCCCATGCTATGGTTCCTGCGGCCCG